TTTCTTTGCTAACTGTGATAGCTGGGAACACAGTTATGAAAACTTTATTTTAAAACTGGACAAAAGAAAGAGTATTTTGATTATTTGGAAAAGAATTCTGAAGAGTTAAACTACACAGCTAAAAAATGTATTGGCTTTTTCTTCTTTACTTGTCTACTTCCACTGTGGATTAGAAATTGTATGTCCCATAGCAAATAACTATTTAGTGTACACAAAACTCGGAATGAGTGTAAAGCATTCTAAACAGTTCATTAAATACTTATGAATAGACAGAAAGCAAGCAATTAGACAGAAAATCTGCCATTGTCCCTTATACAGTCTTCATCCTGTCATTATCATACATATTGATCAAATTTTCATAACAAAATTTGCACTCTATTTTGGTATAATCATAAGAGCATTTTGCCTTCTGATATTATTTCTGAGACATTTTTCGAAAGCCAGACATCTTCTCAGGACTTTTTTCCTCACTGCTAAAACCAAAGGTCCTTGTCCTCGCTGAGTTTTTACCTTAGAGTAGTTTACACACCTTAGTTACCCAAAGTTAAACAAAGGTTGCCTTTTTTAGTAATGAGGAAATGACATAAAAAGTGGGCTAAGCTCCAAAGGAGACTTAGTGATACAGAGTATCACAACATCTAGCTTTCAAGAACTAAGAAAGTCAAAAGAACATCACCACAATTCACAAATCCTGGATTATGGTTTTAAACTCCCAAAACTATGAACAGGGAGAGATGCCTCAAAATAGGGGAGCCGACAGCCATGCTGGGCTTCTAGGTAAGATGGGAGGGGCCAGCAATTGGAAGGGGTGAAGTCTCAGGCAGAAGGAGCGAGGACAAGGCAGCAAGAGTGTCATGCCAGCCCTCCCAGAGCCTTCAGTGCTGCCCAGAGATGGTGCAAACCCCCTGCTCCAGCTTGTAGAGCTTACCGGAGAGTAGTACCTTGCAGCACTCCAGCGGCCTGGGGCTCAGAGTGCTGCTGCAGTAGCCGTGGTGGTAGCTGGAAATCTCAGGCCCTTTAGAATCATCAGGTTCCGGGGTAGTGGCCTAAAACAGGAATTGCTATCAGAAGAGTGTCTTCTAAGCCAAC